CTAATCCCTTTGCTTTTATTCTGTTATATTTTAATACTGCAAAATACTTACTTGATAATCTACAAGTAATTCCGGGCCTTTAAAATAGCGGGAAGCTACTCGTACATTATATTCTTGACCAGGATGATAAAACTCTGCTAGTCCCCAGTCAATTAATCGTAATTTTCGATTTTCATGGTCTATCATAACATTGTGCGGTTTCACATCTCTGTGCATAATTCCCATACTATGACAATAGTCTAGCGCCTGTGCAGGAACATAAAACAGAAACATTATATAAATATTAGAATATTTTCAATTGTGTCCGATTAGATGGTGCATTAGTTGTACTATTTCAATATGTTATTTATAACAAATATTCACAAGTCCAAAATTAAAAAAAAAATTGTTGAAATTTGCTGATGCATTTGTCATAAGGACAAACAAATTTTTCTACATGTGCCTTTTAAGTAAAATGTCAAATGTACTTTTAAGATAAAATATTATGATTTCCTGAAATTTAAAAAAGGAAGAGAAATGTAAAAATATTAGAACAATTAAAATTATTCACACAAATGTCACAACTGAGTCTTCATACATAAATTGATAAATTCTCAGTTATTAGTATTTAAAATACTTTTGATAAAATAAAAAAAATACATGTAAATAACATTAATAAACTATAAACAAGGAAGAATAAAATTAAATCGTATGAAAGCCATAGACTATCATAATCTATAAACAAATGATTTCTTTAAATTGTTTTAGACCATGTGTAACAATTTTAACTTTCATCCAAAATATCTTGTATGGATGTAAGGATACAGCAAAAAGCAAAATTAAGATAATAATTGTCTCATAGCTTCGATATGAAAAATATAATAATTCAACTTTTTAACTCTTTTTCGGACCCATGATATACACCTACATCTATCAACAAACAATTATCTCGATGTTCACCATCAACTGATATTTAGTTCCATTGCACTTAACAATACACGCACTTTTAATAATTCATAGAGGTAGTATCTTATGTCGTAGTCAGTTAACGTCTGATATAATTGCTTGAAATCTGTGTTGTTGACATGTTCGAAAATCAGTGCCGGTGTCCTTGAAACTGGATCTTTAACAACTGCTTGGAGTGTAATTATGTTGGTCCCACCTTTAAGATTTTCTAAAATTTTTATTTCCCTTTTTATTTTCTTCTTTTTAACAGGCTGTAACAAATAAAAAATTATTATTACTTTTAGCTTTCAGTTTATATCAAATATTTATTCATAATATGATATATAACATGACTATGAACATAGTCAGTCTTACTATAAATGCTTCGAAACATTTGATTGATAATTAAAAGAAAGAATTTTATGAATTGACTAATTAAAGAATGCTTTCAATTAAAAAAAAAAATTTGTAGCATTATATTGACCACTCTATCATACCTTCAATATTTTTACAACACAATTTTCATTGTTTGTAACATTTATGGCCTCAAATACTTCGCTATATTTACCCCTGCCTAATTTTCTCACTAACTGATAATCATCTTGTTGCCTAAAAAAAATATATATATATATATAAAGTAAATAAAATAACATATTATAATAGTGATATCATATTGTTGTGATAAATCTTACCCCCAATCGACAACATAAGATTCGTAATCCCAGTATTCTCTTGGTTTATGTGAATTTACATCAGCATAGACACGTGCTCTACTCGGTAAAGCCATTCTCAAAGAAGTATTATTATCGATAAGTGTCTTGTTGAATGGTATACTATCTCGACTGTCTATTCCAAACCTAGAGCTATTAGTAACTTTAACTTCCTTGCTTATCCAGCTACGTGCATGTGAGAACAGTATTGAACCTAAGCAATTTATATAATTCTGTTGAATGTTTACATTAATAAAAAATATGAAGAATAATTTAAAGAAGAAATCAATTGAATTGCTACAATAAATAATATAATAGTAAATTCGATTGTGTGCACTAGTATGCACTGATGCATATAAAAGCTACTGTATATTGATTTAATCTAGGTGTAAAACTAAAATGCAAATATAAAATACATTTCAAATTAAAATACATGTTTTATCTAACAACACAATAAAGTATATTGTAAATTTCGCAATTTAATCTGGTTTATATTTATACTAAACACACATTTTTATATTAATCTGTGTACGGCAGTTTTAATATATGCCATGTACCCATTGATAAGGAGAGGCTATGCTCTAATTTTCACTGATTTTGATAAAACTTGCAGTAATGTTAGAGGTGAATATGAAACCAACATCTGTAAAGCTATTTTAAATGGATCTTAGAAGCCAAGTATATAATGAATTGAACATAGATACTTTATATGTGTATTAGTATATACTATTATCATAGGAAGACATACCAACAAGCTACTGTCGATCAGCAGTTAGCGTGCTGAACTGTGATGCCATAGGATGCTGGTTCGAGTGTGATCAATGATGAATGGAATGAAGAATAGTCAATAAAGCTGTTTTTGTGTCCTCTGCAGATTTCCATTGAACCATTTTTTTGTATTGTATAATCATTAGAAATGTTTAAAATAATCATGAGGTGAGAAAAAACTCGATCTATAAAGCCATAATTAATTATTAGTATAAAACAGCTTCCTTAAAATCCATTTGAAGGAACAGTTCTATAGTTGTTGGTTTTTAGTCGCCTCTTAACATCGTTGCAAGTTTGATCAAAATCAATGAAGCCAAAACATAGCCTCTCCTTGTGAGTGCATCTAATTTGTTATGACAATAATAAGTTAGTAAGTTCTATATATAGTATGTGCGTGTGTGTGCGTACGTGCGTGCGTGTGTGTGTCTTAAAGGAATATGAAAAGCTTGAAAAATATAAATTCATTGATTCATTTCTTTCTCTCTCTCTCTCTCTCTCTCTCATTATTTTAAAGTTTATTACAAAGGTACGCATAATTTATTTTAAAGATATTAAAGATTCAAAATCTCGAGACAGATGCAAATTTGCTATGATTAAAAAACAGTGCCAAAAATTTTATAAAGATGTATTTTGAACTGGCAAAAAATAAATATGAGTGTGATAAAAATATGCAGACAGAAATATAAATCTGAGTTTTTATTAATTACGATTAAGAGAGAGCGTATTATTATATTTTCGTTTATCAATTATAATGCTAGAATTTTGCATATATTCAAAGATATATTTCAAAGTTTTGTTTCGGAGGCACAAAAAGTCGTATCAAAATAAAATTAAATTTCTAACTGATTCGAGGAATCGCGAGAGTTACAAGATGAATATACTACCGACCAACGGAAGAAAAGTACGCAAAAGCATATAAGAGGTGTATAAGGCACGTATACACATGTACTCAGTAAATTACACGCCATCATGATCAAGGAATAGATGTAGACCCATTTAGGAGACTCACCTAAACCATTCCGAACCTGAATATTGATCGGATTCAACACGACGGATTCCTGGATTCGTTGGGAGTATACAAAAATCACTCACGAAGTTGCTAAGGCCGCGCGAACGCGTGAAACTCCAGATTTTTTAGGGCGGCCGGCTTCTCAAACGAGCGAGGTGCAAGATGGCAGCCGGCAACCCGCCACAAACTTCAAAAGTCTAGACCGGAAACCCTTCGTGCCGTGTCAACGAAAGTTTATAGCCTATATTCAGAACGCGCTTTTATCGATAAAAGCGTGCTTTTGAGTGATATTCATAGGCCGGTATTCATAGTCGGTTCTTACTTCAAGACCGTCTTAGGCTGGAATCAGACTACGCATTGAAGATTGAGATTGAAGAGTGAAGATTGAAATTTGACCAATGAGGACAAAGGGATTTTAGCTTCTATTATTTTGATTGGTCAAATTTCAATCTTTCAATCGTCAATCTCAATCTTCAATGCATAGTCTGATTCCGGCTTTAAGTAATGTCTTAAGATGCTAATGCGGTCCTTTGATTGGTTCATGACACCTCAAGGCTGAACTTAAGACGGTCTTAAATATAAGATCTGACTATGAATACCGGCTATAGTCCGTTCTTATTTTAAGACCGTCTTAAGTATTGTCTTAAGATGCTGATACGGCTCTCTGGCCGATTCAGCATTCATAGTCGGTTCTTATAGCATATTCGATTTATTACTGACTCGACCCAACTCCAACAAATTAAGCTATCCACGTTTGCTGTCTTCTTCGAAACTTCTTTGCCATTTTATATTTTTTATAAGAAATAATCGTGCTGTTTTCGCTTTCATCTTTTCCTACAAGAATCAAATAAAAAATATTTAATATATATAAAACAAAACATACAAGGTTAGAGATGTATGCAAAACCATCATTATAATCTAATATAAAATAATTTAACATACATGTAATTACAATACTTAGAGATGACATTTTCCACCTTTTCGATGCTCCTTTTAGTTGAATTTTTTCAATATTATTCTTAATCGCTAATGATCACTGGTGATTGACAGTACGAAAAATTTCCGTTTCCGAACAATATGCCCCATGGGAAGCCAGGCTACTTAAAATCGGAACGGAACGATGCTGATTGGTTGTCCCTACAACTTCACCTTTCCGATTCCGTGTTCCGATTCCGTTTTCCGTGCCCATGGGACAGTACCCTTATTCGTAATATCAATTTCAACCAGTTGAAATTTTCGATTTCTGCTAGAGGATCTCTAGGGTACCTCGACGCGAAAAAGGGGCGTAGTTTTCAAGTTCTGAACACACTATAAGCCTGTTCTTTTTGGCTGAACTTTTTGCACCGTTCATCTTTTCTCTTTTTCTCTCCAACGCGTGGAGAGAAAAGGAAGAAAGATGAACCGTGCAAAAAGTTGAGCCAAAAAGAACAGACCTGATGTTACTTCACAGTTCTACCAAGCTCCCAACACTGGCCGCATCGTTTATTGTAGATTGTTCACTGTAGACCTTCATCTCATCGATTTGAGTGAGTGAAGAGTTCTTCTCGGTTAAAGAAATAGGGAACAGAGAGTACGAATTTTAACCTATCAGAAGTTGTGTATTTAGTATGGTTTTCGATAGGTTGAAATTCTTATGAAATTCTTATTCTGTTTCCTGTTCCCTATTTGTTCGATTATGCACAGTTGAAATTGACCTATTTATAATCGAAAGAACGATCAACATTACTTAAATATAAATTTTGCAGTGGCAAATAAAAACCTTAAACTGTATTTTTATCACTGTTTTGTAGTATATACATACGCAAACAGAAGTATAACTGAGAAAGAAAATCACAAATTGTTATAACAAAAATATGGCTACCATGGGCGAGCCTCTCACTTTAGCAAGAGGTAAGTTTTTACTAATCAGTTTCACAAATTGACAAAAATATGCTGTTACAATATACGGATGACATTCGATGATTATATTGTAGTAATTATACTGAAATTACATGAAATTTTATCCTTTGTAGATATCAAAAGATCTATAGAATTATTAGATAAACTACAGAAAGGTAAGCAATTGTAGGATAAAACATTTTATGTATTTTAACAATTATCTAATTTTACAAGATTAATTTTCTTTAGGAGGAGAGGTTCCTACAACAAAGTTAGCAGCATTACAGAAGGTGTTACAAAGTGATTTTCTAAGTGCAGTACGAGAGGTATATGAGCATGTTTACGAGACTGTCGATATTCAGGTGAGAATATAAGCAGTAGATAACCAATTCTTAATATTTGTTATTAGTTGTTTTCCATTTAAGTACACCGATTCTCAGATAATTCTCACTTGTGACGTCATAACTCAGTTGAATGCGCGTTCCTTTTGCATTCTGACAAGTGAGATTCAACTGAGTTTTTACCTACAATCTGTACAAGATCGAAACCGTGTGCTTTAATGAGTCTCGTAAACTCACTTCAGAGTGAGGTTATGAACCTGTGTGTTGACATGGGATAACTTTTTACCAAAGTAAGCAAGTAGTGACGTCATTAAGCTGAGTATAAAATACTCGGCTCACTTCAGACTCAGTTTCACTTGTGTGTAATGGAAAGCAGCTATTAATAGTTACAAGTAATTTATGAAGGATACGGGCTCGCTCACCGATTTTGATGAAATTAGGCTCATTTGACGCGTTTTTGTACGGAATGAACGAATCTGGGAAAAAAAGGTGTCGCTTTGCTCTGTGGATCAAGATATTAAGCATTAAAATTGACGACTATTCAGGTTAGGAAATCTGTCACATCGATGGGGCGGGAGGGTATAGAAGGTTACACAAATTCTCTATTTTATAAACATAAATTTTCTATTTTAAAAATAAATCCTCTGCTTTAAGAAAAACACATTATTTTCTATTTTTGTTTTTATAGTAGAGAATTTGTTTTTAAAACAGAAAATTTGTGTTTTTAAAGCACTGACAAATATTTGACCAATTTTTTTTTGGTAATTATTTAGAATACGGATCCCCCCCTAGAATCTTAATAAAAATGTACTCATTCGATGCGTTTTTGCGCAAAACGAAAGAATCTGGCAAAAAAACGTGGCGGTCGGCTTCTTGAATTAAATTATTAAACGTTAAAGTTTAAGACTTTAGAAGTTAAGATATCTGTCATCTCCACTCGATACAGCGCTATATATACATTCTGCAAGTTCTTTTTAGCTGAACTTTTGCACCGGTTCATTTTTTTTCCTTTTCTCTCCAGGAGGAAAGAAGAGGAAGAAAGCTGAACCGGTGCAAAAGTTCAGCTAAAAAGAACAGGTCTAATTACACAAATTCTCTGCTTCACAAACACAAATTCATTGCTTTAAAAATAAATTCACTGTTTTAAGTACACAAATTTTTTGCATTAGCAATGAATTTGTGTAATTAAAGCAGAACATATACATAGAGCTGTATTGAGTAATATGTAATATTACTATAGACTTGCCTCGGTAGTCTAAAGGTTTAGGGCGCTTGTACGGAATACAAGAGATCCGGGTTTGACTCCCAGCCGAGGTAATATTTTTCACAATAAATTTATTTACAGTTTTTCAGCACATTAACATCTTTCTAATATGACACCAGATTGAACATCAAAATTATTAAAATTTGCTTGTCAATTTAATTTGTGATATTACAGTAGTTTAATTGCGTTTATAAGTCCGGAAAACCAAATCGGCTTGCAGTTCGAACGACTACAAATATGGTATTTATACATATATGTACATATACTATATAGTATATGTACATATATGTATAAATAATTCACATTGTATTATTTAAAGCATTAAAGATCCAGCTTCGACCGTTATAGGCTTTAATATTCTTATTTATTATATATTATGTTGTCTGTAATGTTGTAAAGAAAAGTTTCCTAATAAATTATAAATTTTTTTTAACACAATAGCAATAATAAAATGCATTGTTTAAAATGTAAATCCAATATATCTTCAATTTATAGCCATTCATGCATATTAAAAAAAACATTTTCAGGTTACTCAATAACTAAATTTTTTGGACAGCTGACACTTGAACTATTTTTTTTTGTAGTTTGGAATGTCAATTTTAAGACATTGAACCATATTTTTCCTTTGCATTTTTGTATGAAAAAGTGTATTTTTTTCATTTTGTTAACTATATTTAATTACAACAATTTATATACAATGTTATAAATAATTATAAAGATACAACTTTACAAATACTTTCTAAGATGTCAAAATATATATGTAAAAATCGCTTAATAATTTTTATATACTATACTTGTAAAAGTGATAAAAATTAATCCAGGATACGAAAGACCCATCATGTGTAGTAAGGATGCCAAAAACTAAGGTGTGTACTAAGGGTTAATGCTTGCGGGACGTCGAGTAGCTGCGTTCGTAGCACGCTCGACTTGTGATTTTCCGTTCCGCGTTCGATCCCAGGCGCCCCGCATATCGCTGTTTATTGACAAAATTTAATTGTGTCCTACTGTTGGAAGGCTTAAGGCCGTTGTACGAGTTGTACAAGGAGCTTAAAATTGTACAATAAGAAATAATTGTATAATAAGAAAAAAAGAATTCTGTTTACACACGAGTTTGATTGACAGTGTAATGAATTTTTGGTATAGTGCCTTTGCGCCATATTGCCCAAAGGCATTATACCAAAGGTTAGGATAAAAGGCGTCTAATTTCCCTCACTCGAGGGAAAATTTACAAAATAAAATAACTTTAATGCTTAATATCTCGGAGCAGAGTCACACTTTTTTCTGCCAAATTCGTTTATTTCGTATAAAAATGCGTCAAATGAGCCTAATTTCATAAAAATCAGTCAATAAGTCCGTCTCCTTCATATTTACCTAATATAATTACAATTGTTGATAATTAATTCATAATTATTGTAAAGGGATCACAGGATGTACGTGCATCTGCAACAGCAAAAGCAACTGTTGCTGCTTTTGCAGCTAGTGAAGGTCATGCACATCCACGTGTAGTCGAATTACCTAAAACAGAAGAAGGACTTGGTTTTAATGTGATGGGAGGTAAAGAACAGAATTCGCCGATTTATATATCTCGCATTATCCCTGGTGGTGTTGCTGATAGACACGGTGGTTTAAAACGTGGAGATCAGCTTTTATCTGTTAATGGAGTGGTTGGTAAAAATGTTATCTTTTTTATTTATTTATTAGAAAGCATATTTTACAATAATAAAATAATTTGTTTTAGTGTGTCGAAGGTGAAAATCATGAGAAGGCAGTGGAATTACTAAAGCAAGCTCAAAATTCTGTAAAATTAGTAGTTCGTTATACTCCACGTGTTCTCGAAGAAATGGAATTACGTTTTGATAAACAGAGAGCTGCTCGTAGGCGTCAACATATGCAATAAATATAAATGCAAAATATTTAATTCTCACTTAAAAAATGCAAATTTATTGGCTATAGTCTACCTATACGTCTATACATTTAAACTATTTATGCTTTATGTTATTAGTTATAATTTGGCTAGTGTACAACTGAATTATATCCGTATATTTATCCATCAATAAATGTAACACATATTATCTACATATTTTTCTCATGCTTTTGTTCTCATCCTATGTTTATGTGATCAATTTTGAAGTATATTAAATATTACATTTTCGTATATTTTATGGAATATCTTGCTAATCTACTATTTCGCGTACAAAGGGAACTTTCCAGCAAAGGCACAAATCGACACAAGAATCATTCTATCTTTGTTTCTTACTGATTATCGAACAAGAACAGGATGACTTTTGTGTCAATTTGTGTCTCTTTGCTGGAAAGCTCCCAAATTGTAGTAATTAAGGGTGAGTTTCGAATTACGCACAAAGCGCATGATGCATCATTTGTCCTTGTTGTTTACCAAATAATAAAGAAGGATAAAATGATTTTATGCGCTTCATGCGTAATTCGGAACGCATCCTAATGCTGGTGTCTCATGAGGCGTATTTGCCGCGTATCTCGTAACCGCGTAATCAATCAGTAATCAATAAGGGTATAGCGGGGAGCACAGACTCTTCCATAACGCATAACACGTAATGCATAAGAAAATGTACCAATCAAAGCCCTCCGTTTCCTTCCTTTCCAATTTGAAATAAAGAATTCTGATTGATTGAATTTCTTATGCATTACATGTTATGCGTTATGCAAAAGTCTGTGCTCCCCGCTTATATCCACACAAATTTGCATAGCCGCATAAAAGTATGTACATATAAAGAAAATTATCCAATTGTATTTCTCATATAAAGATGCATGTAGAATGTGATTGGATAATTTTCGTTATGCATACGTTTTATGCGGCTATGTAAGTTTGTGTGGATACCTTAGAACATATACTATTGGAAGAGGAATAGGGCGCTGAACGTGAAGCCAACATCTGTGCGAGAGAGAAAGGTAGAGAGGTCCTAATGTTCGCAATGCGCATGCGCATCACCGTCGTCTGTGTGAATTGTTACAGTTCGCGCAATTAATGCCTTCCCAGCCTATGACATCACGTCCACTGGTGAGACATCGCGTTTATCTTTTCGGTTGTTTTCACGTTCATGGCCGTAGTCGGACAAACCAGACTAACCAATAGAGATTGGAGAAACTTGCGTATTGTCGATAATTCCGTCTGACTATGACCATGAACGTGAAAATAACCGAGAAAGTAACGCGCAATGTCAAAACAAGGCATTAATTGCGCGAACTGTACAGTTGGTTTAGTGTTTCTAAAGGCCATCACACGTACAAAAATTTTAGTCGTAATCGTAAGGTCGCAAGTAAATCGACCAATCACAAACAAAATTACGATCTCGCGTTTAAAAACGCTCGACTGTGATTGGCCGATTTGCTTACGGCCTTACGATTACGATTAAAATTTTTGTACGTGTGATGGCCTTTACACATTCGTACATTACACAGATGTGTAAAAGCTATGGCACACACTTTCCGTAACAGTAACCATAAGACGTACCATAAGAATCAGCCAATTAGAATTAAAAGTTCAAAAGAATTCTCGACTGTGATTGGTTGATTCTTACGGTACGTCTTATGGTTACTGTTACGGAAAGTGTGTGCTATAGCCTTTAAGCAGTAAAACGTAAGTAGTAAGCGAATTAACCAATCAGACAGTAGAGTCCATAACATAAGCAGTAGCGAATCCAATGTTGATTTCCTTACCGTTTACGTCTTACTGCCTTAAGTTTTTTGTGTGCCAGGACCCTAAGGGTCGACAGGAGTGAGAAGCCAACTCAATTATACCTCATTTGTGGTGCAACTACAATATCTGCACTTTACCCTTGTGAAAAAGTTTTACTGAAATTACTTCACGTTTTGGAACATTTCAGCGAAATTACTGAAAATTTGCTGAAACTTCACTGAAAGTGAATTTTTCAGCTAATATACTGAAAAATCACTGAAATCCAACCGAAATTTCTCTGAAATTCTTGCTGAAATTTGTCTGAAAATTTTTCTGAAATTTTGTTGAAAATTAATTTTTCAGCTAAAAATCGCTGAAATTAAACTGAAATTTTTTTTGAAATGCTGAAATTTTGTTGAAAAGTGTTCCAAAATGTGAAATAATTTCAGCAACATTTTTCCACCAGGGTATCAGACAGAGACCATGGCTGTGTTCCAAAATTGACTGCCAGTACTGAAAATCTATAGTGCACGTAAACTGTAGCATTTTCAGTGCTGATAGTAAAGGAACACAGCCCATATACTGTCTCGTAGAAGAAATATTTTGCTATGAAATTCGTTTTGGCTTATATTATATTTTACAAAGCTACAAAGCCTGTTAAAGGATCAAATTTTGCAATTTCATTCTTAAAGACATTTTAATGAATAAAATGGCTATTCTCCTTATTTATGGTGCAGATACCTATCTTTTTTTTTATGCTGATATCTTATCTGCAAGAAATAACCATACTAAAAAAAATTACTTCACAAGTTACATAATATTACATGATAAAATTATCTAATTAAAACATGTAAATCACGTAACGGATTGTTTTAAATCAGTACGTGATTTTAAAATGATGTAATTTGAAAAATCACATGATATTAGAAATAATTTCATCCATCATGTGATTTTATAATTATATCGAATTTTTAAGAATTGAATGATAGAAATAGAAGAAAAAAGAACATTATGTGATTTTTTAAAATACGTAATTTTAAAATCACGTACTGATTTGAAACAATCCGTTACATGATTTACATGTTTTGTATGATTTTATCATGCAACTGTGTGACATGATTTTTTTCTGTAGGGAATATTACGTCATAAACCTTTTTGATTTCTTTTTTTATGCTGCGAAGGCGCGTACAGAGCCGGTGTTTGCAAATTGATTCTTGAAAATGTTTTAATAATAAATTTTTATTTTGCTCTTTTCCCAAAAAAATCGCTCTGTATGAGCCTTCAGAAGTCTTTCTTGATTACAAATATCGCAATTAAAACGCGATTCATGTAATATTTTAGCCATAATTTCAGCATAAAGAAATTCATTATACATAAGTGCAGGTCTAGGTCATTTATACTATAGTTTTTCTTCTCGAAGAAATAATATTTCCTTATGAAATTTTTTATTAGGATTTCTTTCTTATATTATTGGGAAGGTTCGTACACAGCCGGGTTTTGCAAATTGATTCTTGAAAATTTTTTAATAATTAAATTATGTACACCTTAACTGTACTATAGTACACATCGAGTAAGATATCAGAACAAATATTTATTTTGCTTTTTTTCCAAAAAAATCGCTCTGTACAAGCCTTCAGGAGCATTTTCTGATTACAAATTCGCAATTAAAACGTGATTCATCCGTATTTAGTCTTAATTTCAGCATAAAGAAATTCGTCTTCTAGAAGTCTCCATATTTTAACTGTTTTAAATCACATAAAATTTAAAATTATAAATGTAATTCGAAATCGCGTATTTATACGATATAAAATGACACGCGACATCATAATGTGATATATCATATTCACTACAATTCTTAAGGGAAACCGATGTACAATTTTTCAAATCATTTTTAAATGAAGAAAATATCTCCTATTCTTTCTTTACCTGGAAATTACGCGAATGGTGATGAATGGTTTGCGAGAGGCGAGACAGAAGCCAAAAGGTGCCCGATATATTTTTACATCATTCTAGCAGCATGCTAAATAGATAGTAACGCGTTGTAACGGATTGCAACCACAGAATGCGTAGGCAGTGGTCTAAGAACGGCAATACGTTGCCCTATTTCAAACTTGAAATATCACTACGGCGAAATGATTCGAGCGAAGCTAATTTTTGTTTCTATCTCAATATATATGATTGGAATTATATAATTTCTCTACTTTTATCATGTAAATATAAAAATAAAAATCGCTATACTGCAGTTATGTAAATGACTATCAATATGATCGTCTCTCTCTCTCTCTCTCGCTCGCTCTCTCTCTCTCTCTCTCTCTCTCTCTCTTCTCATACATGTACAACTCATTTATACATGTTACGAATACTGTTTTAATATATACCGTTTGCTTATTGTAATTGCTATCTTGAGCACCCGAAACATTAAACGTGTCAATAGATAATTATTACAATTTTTCACAAGATGTTACAATAAATATCACAAAAAGTTAGAAAAAAATTGATACTCCCATAGTTAAAAAAAATTTCATAATATCTTTCATAATATTTTTAAGAATAATATTTTTAATAATATTTTTTAGATTTTAAATTTGAAGATTTCTAAAAAAATATCTTAAACTTGTTTAAATTTTGCAAATTATATAGAATGATAGAGAGAGAGAGAGAGAGAGATATCTTAGAATATTTCGGAATTCATGTTATACTCCATAAAAAATTTTAGCAGAAATGTAGACTGTTTTAGTATTTCTGAAAAGTATTCTAATGTGTGTAACAAATCTTAGAAATTTTCTAGAAATTAGTTATGAAATTTACATAGAAATTCTGAAAAATTATGTGAACAATTATGTGAACAAAAAGAAAATTTTTCAGGAAGAATATAATGAGGACTACCTCTACGCTAAACATTTATTCGATGAAGGCAATTATCACAAAATCTGTTAGTTACATCGAAACTTATTAGTAATCATGCGATATAATAGCATTTATATGACCTTCATATAAACGACACCGTGACTGTGGTATTCACTTATAACATATTTCATTTTTCGTCGGCGTCGCCGCTCTATTTTTGCATGCGTCGTCTTTCTAGCTGCTTTAGCAGATACGGACAGGAAGTCTTTATACCGGGACGGAAGAATCAATTCTCTTCAAGTTCGGCGGCGTTCGTTCTCCATTGTGCATCATTGGTGGTTTGCCTAATACGGTGTAAAAGTTTCCTTATTGGTTGTCATGGTAAGATTGAAGAGATAAATTGAAAAATAGTTTGTATACCGAAAAAATATACCTATAAATTAAACATTCAAGTAGCAAAAAACGGTTATAAATTCCATATTATTTAAAAAACACTCCAAAATGTTCTTATTTTTTAGATGGATAGAAAATTATTATAACAAATTATAACATTTAAAAT